TCTTGCAAAATAAAAATATTATTATTATTATTTATTTATTTATTTTTTGATTTTATCAAATGAATATAATCAGAACAAAACTGATTTCAAAACAAAACTTACCGGATTAATAATGGATCACATTCTTAACATTAAAATGCATAAAGTTAAAGAATTTTTTTATTCCAAGTTTATATTTTAAGATTTATTTAAAATAGAATTATACTAGTAACACAAAAATAGTTATTCATAACTTGTTTTCCAAAATCTATTATTTATACGAAAAATGAAAATAAAATTGAAATAGGGGTATAAAAAAAATTAGGTTAACTATTAAAAACTAATTAATCATTAAAGTAATTAAAAAATTAAAGTCTAAAAAAATTATTAAATTACAATTAATATAAAAAAATTATTTAGGAAAAAAAATCAAATTAGGGGAACAAAATTCGAAAATAAAAATTAGGGAAATAAATATTTTTTATTATTTAATAATTATTCTAAAAAAATATCGTCAGGAATTATCGTTAAAAAAATTGTCAGAATCGAGTCAAGTATAAATAAATATCGGCATGTTCAATATTTTTTCATTAGAATTTTATTCCTGACATTAAACCAAATTACTAAAATTAATTAAAACTTAATTAAAAATTTATTAAATTATAAATTAATTAGAAAAAATTAATTAAGGCAACAAAATTCGAAAATAACAATTAGGGAAATAAATATTTTTAATTATTTAATAATTATTCTAAAAAAATATCGTTAGGAATTATCGTCAAAAAAATTGTCAGAATCGAGTCAAGTATAAATAAACATCGGCATGTTCAATATTTTTTCATTAGAATTTTATTCCTGGCATTAAAACAAATTACTGAAATTAATTAAATTATAATTAACTTAAATTAATTGGGAAAAAATTAAATTAAGGGAACTAAATTCGAAAATAAAAATTTAAATAAATATTTTTTATTACTTAATAATTATGCTAAAAAAATATTGTCAGGAATTATCGTTAAAAAAATTATCGTCAGAATCGAGTCAAGTATAAATAAACATCGGCATGTTCAATATTTTTTCATTAGAATTTTATTCCTGGCATTAAAACAAATTACTGAAATTAATTAAATTATAATTAACTTAAATTAATTAGGAAAAAAATTAATTAAAGGAACAAAATTCGAAAATAAAACTTTAAATAACTATTTTTTATTACTTAATAATTATTCTGAAAAAATTTCGTCAGGAATTATGGTTAAAAAAATTGTCAGAATCGAGTCAAGTATAAATAAACATCGGCATGTTCAATATTTTTTCATTAGAATTTTATTCCTGGCATTAAAACAAATTACTGAAATTAATTAAATTATAATTAACTTAAATTAATTAGGGAAAAAATTAATTAAAGGAACAAAATTCGAAAATAAAACTTTAAATAACTATTTTTTTATTACTTAATAATTATTCTGAAAAAAAATTTCGTCAGGAATTATGGTTAAAAAAATTGTCAGAATCGAGTCAAGTATAAATAAACATCGGCATGTTCAATATTTTTTCATTAGAATTTTATTCCTGGCATTAAAACAAATTACTAAAATTAATTAAATTATAATTAACTTAAATTAATTGGGAAAAAATTAAATTAAGGGAACTAAATTCGAAAATAAAAATTTAAATAAATATTTTTTATTACTTAATAATTATGCTAAAAAAATATCGCCAGGAATTATCATTAAAAAAATTATCGTCAGAATCGAGTCAAGTATAAATAAACATCAATCTGTTCAATATTTTTTCATTAGAATTTCATTCCCGGCATTAAAGAAAATTACTAAAATCAATTAAAAATTAATTTAAAAATTATTAAATTATAATTAAATTAATTTAATTAGGGAAAAAAATAAATTCAGGGAACAAAATTCGAAAATTAAAATTTAATTAATGAAAATTTAAATAAATATTTTTTATTATTTTATAATTATTCTAAAAAAACTATCGTCATGAATTATCGTTAAAAAAATTATCCTCAGAAACGAGTCAAGTATAAATAAACATCCGTCTATTCAAAGTATCCATCAGAATTTTATTCTTATCATTCAAGAAAAAAAATGGCGTCACTTTGATAAAACACAGATTGCTTTATTTATTTAAGAATTCGTTCGTTGAATACTTAAAATCATGATTCTTTATTCTACTATAAATTTATAATAAAAAAAATTGTGATGAACACGATCCATTATTACCTATTGTGTTACATTTTGATAAAAGGCCTGTTCTTTTTTTTTTAAGTAAAACACCCACTCTGTCAATAAACAGAACTCGTACAATCAAGTTTTCCGAGAACTTTATCAGGATGCCGGCTTGACTTCTGCGATAAATTTCTTGTTACACCATTTTCTTGGCTGTTTTTATTTTATCGAATGCTGAATCGTTGGATAATGAGAATATTTTTCCCAGAAAGATAACGAAATAACACAATATTGTGATTAGAAGGTGTTTTAGCGTACGTTTTATTTCCGCAATTTAGAAATTCTTAAAAAGCTTCAATTTCTCAGAAACCTGATAAGAAGTTTCCAATTAATTCGAATAGAACAACTTAACACCTTCACAACAATTCCTTCGCTTATTCCAAGAAAAATGTTTAGAATAATTAATTGAATAGAATATTTAGAACGAATTTATTACAATAAAAATGTTGGTCAGATTTGCAGACGATAATTATCATTCTTAAATAATAAACGGAAGTTGTAGGTGTTTCTTTTTTATTTTCTTAAGCAAACGATTAACTTAAATAAACAAACGATTTTTCTTCGAAAAGTTCTCAGAAATTCAATATTTATTCTTTGGAAAAATAACAAATCCTTTTCTGTCGCATAAAAATGAGAATTTAAATGATTCGCTAAAAACACTTTCAAGATTCATTCATAAATAATATTTTAATCCTCCTTTTGCAATAAATTAATATTTTTATACATTTTAATTAAATGAAATTATTGAAACTCTGCAAATATAATGAAAGCATCTATTTTTTATTTTGAGTGTAGTTTCAATAAACATTTTTCGCAAATGGTAAATAAAATATTAAATTATCTTAATAATAAATATATTTTTTTCAAAATAATTTGTGATACTTTTAAATTATTGTGTTGTTATCAGAATTTAATGAATGTATTGAATTCTCAATCTGTTACAATTCAGTTTAATATAATGAATAAATTTAAAAATTTTGTTAACATTATTTATTTAAATAAAAATGGTAATTTTAGAAAATTTAATAAAATTGTATTTCAAAAAATTCTGTTTATTACTATGACTGGAAGAGACTGATTAACATCGATCTATTCATACGAAATGTGAAAAAAAATTTAATTAGAGAAACAAACAAATAATTAGGAACAATTAAAAATTAATTAATTATTAAAGTTAATTAAAAATTTATTAAATTATAATTAACTTACAAATTAATTAGGGGGAAAGAAAAAGGCGTTATTTTTATATAACACAGATTGCTTTATTTATTTAAAAATTCGTTCGTTGAACACTCTTAAAAAGTTTCAATTTCTAAGAAACCTGATAAGAAGTTTCCAATTTATTCGAATAGAACAGCATTAACACCTTTACTTCCAAACCTTCGCTTATTCCAAGAAAATGTTTAGAATAATTAATTGAATAGAATATTTAGAACGAATTTATTACAGTAAAAATGTTTCTCAGATTTACAGTCTGATAATTATCAATCTTAAATAATAAATGGAATTTGAAGGAGTTTCTCTTTTTTTATTTCTTTAAACAAGCGATTAACTTAAATAAATAAACAATTTTTCTTCGAAGAGTTCTCAGAAATTCAATATTTATTCTTTAGAAAAATAACAAATCCTTTTCTGTCGCATGAAAGCGGGAATTTAAATGCTTCTCTAAAAATACTGTAAAGATTCATTTGAAAACTTTATTATAACCTCCTTTTACAATAAATTAATATTTCTATACATTTTAATTAAATGAAAATATTGAATTCTGCAAATATACTGAAAGCGTCCATAATGTTTAAATTTGAAGATTTTGTTTACATTATTTATTTAAATAAAAATTCTAATTTTAAAACATTTAATAAAATTGTATTTCATAAAATTATGTTTATTAGTATAACTGGAAGAGACTGATTAATTAATATCGATCTATTCATACGAAAAGTAAAAAAAAAATTAATTAGGAAAACAAAAATTAATTAGAAACAATTAAAAATTAAGGAAACATTTATTAAATTATCATTAACTAAAAAAATAATTAGGAAAAAAATTAAATTAGGGGAACAAAATTCAAAAATAAAAATTAGCTAAATAAAAATTTAAATAAATATTTATTATTTAATAATTATTTTTAAAAAAATTATCATCAGGAATTATCGTTAAAAACATTTTCATCAGAAACGAGTCAAGTATAAATAAACATCTTTCTGTTCAATATTTTATTTCTAGCATTCAGGAAAAAGAAAATGGCGTCATTTTGATAAAACACAGATTGCTTTATTTATTTAAAAATTCGTTCGTTGAACACTCTTAAAAAACTTCAATTTCTAAGAAGCCTGATAAGAAGTTTCCAATTAATTCGGATAGAACAACTTAACATCTTCACTTCAAATCCTTCGCTTATTCCACGAAAGTTTTTCAAATAATTAATTGAATAGCATATTTAGAACAAATTTATCACAATAAAAATGTTTCTTAGATTTGTTGTTGTTTGTTTGTTGTTTCTTATCCCACTTGGCTGGCCAAGCCCACGAGCCCATATGGACACATGATTGAAGGGGAAGGAAGCAGCTTCTGTTGTGATGGAGCACCCGTAGGTAGAAGCCTGACTTTTGCTCCGTGACGCTCTTACAGTCATAGAAGACCGGGACCTACGGCTTAAAGTGGATTCCGAACCACTACAAACATCCATGGCACCGCCGGGATTCGAACCCGAAACCTGTGGCACCGAGGGTCAGAGCGCTAGACACTCGGCCATTCAGGTCCCAAATTTGCCGACGGCACGCAGTGTTCCCAGGTGGTCACCCACCCAAGTACTGACAGCGCCCAATGATGCTTGACTTCGGTGATCTAACGAGAACCGGTATATTCAGCATGGTACGGCCGTCGGCTTCTTCTTAGATTTACAGATAATAATTATCAATCTTAAATAGTAAATGGAATACGAAGTGTTTCTTTTTTTTATTTCCTTAAACAAACGGTTAACTTCAATAAACAAATGATTTTTCTTCGAAAAGTTCCCAGAAATTCAATATTTATTCGTTCGAAAAATAATAAATCATTTTCTGTCGCATGAAAACGGGAATTTAAATGACTCAGTAAAAACATTTTAAAGATTCATTTGTAAACATTTATTTTCATTATAATCCTTCCTTTTACAATAAATTAATATTTCTATACATTTTAATTAAATGAAAATATTGAATTCTGCAAATATACTGAAAGCATCCATTTTTTGTTTTGAGTTTAGTTTTAATAAACCTTTTTCGCGGGGGCTTAATTTTAAATTATCTTAATAATAAATATATTTTTTTCAAAATAATTTGTGATACTTTTAAATTGTTGTGTTGCTATCAGAATTAAATGAATGTATTGAATTCTTAGTCTATTACAATTTAGTTTAATATACATAATGTATAAATTTGAAAATATTGTTTAGATTATTTACTAAAATAAAATAATAATTTTAGAAAATTTAATAAAATTGTATTTCATAAAATTCTGTTTATTAGTATGAATGGAAGAGACTGATTAATATTGATCTATTGATACGAGAAAAAAAATAATTGGAGGAAAAAAATAATTAATTAGGAACAATTAAAAATTAATCTATTAATAAAATTTATTAAATTATGTTTAACTTAAAAAACTAATTAGGAAGAAATTAAATTAGAGGAACCAAATTAAAAAATAAAAATTAGGGAAATAAAAATTTAAATAAATATTTTTTATTACTTAATAATTATTTTAAAAAAATATCGCCAGGAATTATCATTAAAAAAATTATCGTCAAAAACGAGTCAAGTATAATTAAACATCAATCTGTTCAATATTTTTTCATTAGAATTTTATTCCTGGCATTAAATCAAATTACTAAAATCAATTAAAAATTAATTTAAAAATTATTAAATTATAATTAAATTAATTTAATTAGGGAAAAAAATAAATTCAGGGAACAAAATTCGAAAATTAAAATTTAATTAATGAAAATTTAAATAAATATTTTTTATTATTTTATAATTATTCTAAAAAACTATCGTCATGAATTATAGTTAAAAAAATTATCATCAGAAACGAGTCAAGTATAAATAAACATCCGTCTATTCAATATTTTTCCATCATAATTTTATTCCTAACATTCAAGAAAAAAAAATGACATCCCTTTGATAAAACACAGATTACTTTGTTTATTTAAGAATTCGTTCGTTGAATACTTAAAATCATGATTCTACAATCTAATATAAATTTATAATCAAAAAAATTGTGATGAACACGATCCATTATTACCTATTGTGTTACAGTTTGATAAAAGGCTTGTTCATTTTTTTAAAAGTAAAACACCCACTCTGTCAATAAACAGAACTCGTACAATCAAGTTTTCCGAGAACTTTATCAGGATGCCGGCTTGACTTCTGCGATAAACGTTCTTCTTACACCCTTTTCTTGGCTGTTTTTATTTTATCGAATGCTGAATCGTTGGATAATGAGAATATTTTTCCCAGAAAGATAACGAAATAACACAATATTGTGATTAGAAGGTATTTTATTTCCGCAATTTAGAAACTCTTAAAAAGCTTCAATTTCTAAGAAGCCTGATAAGGAGTTTCCAATTTTTTCGAATAGAACAATTTAACATCTTCACTTCAAATCCTTCGCTTATTCCGCGAAAATTTTTGGAATAATTAATTGAATATATTATTTAGAACGAATTGATTAGAATAAAAATGTTTCTCAGATTTACAGACGATAATTATCAATCCTAAATAATAAATGGAACTTGTAGGGGTTTCTTTTTTTATTTCTTTAAGCAAACGATTAAATTAAATAAACAAACGATTTTTCTTCGAAGTGTTCTCAGAAATTCAATATTTATTCTTTGGAAAAATAATAAATAGTTTTCTGTCGCATGAAAACGGGAATTTAAATGACTCGCTAAAAATAAATTAAAGATTCATTTGTTAACATTATTATAATCCTCCATTTACAATAAATTAATATTTCTATGCATTTTAATTAAATGAAATTAATGAATTCGGCAAATATACTGAAAGCATTCATTTTTTATTTTTTTATTTTGAGTGTAGTTTCAATAAACCTTGTTCGCGAGTGGCTAAATTTTAAATTATCTTAATAATAAATACATTTTTTTTAAAAATAATTTGTGATACTTTTAAATTGTTGTGTTGTTATCAGAATTAAATGGACTTACTGAATACTATAACTTAGTTTAATACAATGTTTAAATTATTTATTTAAATAAAAATATCATTTTGAGATATTTTAATAAAATTGTATTTCATAAAATTCTGTTTATTAGTATACCTGGAAGAGACTGATTAATATCGATCTATTCATACGGAAAGTGAAAAAAAATTGAATTAGGGAACAAAAAAATTGAATTAGGAACAATTAAAAATTAATTGAACACTCATTAAATTATAATTAACTTAAAAAATTAATTAGTAAAAATTTTAAATTAGGGGAAGAAAACTTAAATATAAAACTTAGTTTCATAAACACTAAAATAAATATTTTTTATTATTTTATAATTATTCTAAAAATTATCGTCAGGAATTATCGCTGAAAAATTATCATCAGATACGAGTCCAGTATAAATGAACATCCGTCTGTTCAATATTTTCATCATATTTTATTCCTAGCATTCAAGAAAAAAAAAAGGGTGTCTCTTTGATAAAACACAGATTGCTTTATTTATTTAAGAATTCGTTCGTTGAACACTCTAAAAAAGCTTCAATTTCTAAGAAGCCTGATAAGAAGTTGCCAATTAAATCGAATAGAACAACTTAACCCCTTCACTTTAAATCCTTCAATTATTCCATGAAAATTTTGGGAATAATTAATTGAATGAAATATTTGGAACGAATTTATCACAATAATAATGCTTCTTCGATTTGCAGCTAATAATTATCAACCTTAAATAATAAATGGAATTCGAAGGGGTTTCTTTTTTTTTTTTTTTTCTTAAACAAACGATTAACTTAAATAAACAAACGATTTTCTTCGAAAAGTTCTCAGAAATTCAATATTTATTCTTTGGAAAAATAATAAATCGTTTTCTGTCGCAGGAAAACGGGACTCGCTAATATTATTCATTTCTAAACATTATTATAATTCTCCTTTTACAATAAATTAATATTTCTATTCATTTTAATTAATGGAAAATATTGAATTCCGTAAATATACTGAAAGCATCCATTTTTTATTTTTTATTTTTGAGTGTAGTTTCAATAAACTTTTATCGTGAGTGGTTGAATTTTAAATTATCTTAATAATAAATAAAAAAATTTTCAAAATAATTTGTGACACTTTTAAATTGTTGTGTTGATTTAAAATTAAATGACAGTATTGAATTCTCATTCTGCTTCAAGTTTGTTTAATATAATGTACAAATTTGAAGATTTTGTTTAAATTATTTATTTAAATAAAAATGTTAATTTTAGAAAATTTAATAAAATTGTATTTCATACAATTCTCTTTATTAGTATAACTGGAAGAGACTGATTATTATCGATCTATTCATATGAAAAGTGAAAAAACTTTAATTAGCGGAATAAAAAAATTAATTACGAAAAATTAAAATTAATTAATTATTAAAATTAATTAAACATTTATTAATTTTAATAAACTTAAAAAATAAATTAGGGGAAAAATTAAATTAGTGGAACTAAATAGAAAAATAAAAATTAGGGAAATAAAAATTTAAATGAATATTTTTTTATTATTATTCCATAATTATTCTAAAAATTATCGCCAGTAATTATCGTTAAAAAAATTATCATCGGAAACGAGTCAAGTATAAATAAACATCCGTCTGCTCAATATTCTAATCATGATTTTTATTCCTAGCATTCAGGAAAACGAAAATGGCGTAGTTTTGATAAAACACAGATTGCTTTATTTATTTAAAAATTCGTTCGTTGCGCACTCTTAAAAAGCTCCAATTTCTAAGAAGCCTGATAAATTTCCAATTAATTCGAATAGAACAACATTAACACCTTCACTTCAATTCCTTCGTTTATTCCACGAAAATTTTTGATATAATTAATTGAATAGATTATTTAGAACGAATTTATTATAATAAAAATGATTCTCAGATTTACAGCTGATAATTATCAATCTTAAATTATAAATGGAACTTGTAGGGATTTATTTTTTTATTTCCTTAAACAAACGATTAACTTAAATAAACAAACGATTTTTCTTAGAAAAGTTCTCTGAAATTCAATATTTAATTTTTTGGAAAAATTAATAAATCGTTTTCTGTCGCATGAAAACGGGAATTTAAATGACTTTCTAAAAACATTTTAAAGATTTATTTGTAAACATTTATTTCCATTATAATCCTTCTTTTTATAATAAATTAATATTTCTATTCAATTTAATTAATGGAAAATATTGAATTCCGCAAATATACTGAAACCATCCATTTTTTATTTTTTATTTTGAATGTAGTTTCAATAAACCTTTTTCGCGAGTGGTTAAACTTTAAATTATCTTAATAATAATAAATATTTTTTTTTAAATAATTTGTGATACTTTTAAATTGTTATGTTGCTTCAAAATTAAATGAAAGTATTGAATTCTGATTCTACTACAAATGTGTTTAATAAAATGTATACATTTGAAAATTCTGTTCAAATTATTTACCAAAATAAAAATAATAATTTGAGGAAATTTAATAAAATTGTATTTCATAAAATTTTGTTTATTATTATAACAGGAAGAGACTGATTAATATCGATCTATTCATGAAAAAGTGAAAAAAAAATTTATTTAGGGGAACAAAAAATTATTAGCAATAATTAAACAAAATAACACAATATTATGATTAGAAGGTGTTTTGGCGTGTATTTTATTTCCGCAATTT